TGAGAGTAAAAGCAGAGAATGCTGAGTCTTCAAAAAAACTTTAGAATACTCATTTAAGAATTTTGGAATTTAAAGGACCTTAAAAGTCACTTATTATAACCACATTTTATAAAAAATTGAATGTATTTTAATAGCAAACAGCATGGAAGACAGACAACATTGGACAACTCAGAAAAGTACTATGAATGGGTTGAATCTACTATCATATAAAAAGGCAATCACTGAGAAATTTACTTGTTTTTTTAAAAATCCAAATGCTGACATTGTACTAAGCATTTAACATTATTAAAACTGTTACAAAGTTTAACTACTGAAACTTGCTCAATGAAACATTTTGATTTATAGCCCACCATTTGTTAAAAATTTACACACAAATGAAATGGACAAACCCCCAGTGTCTTTTTCTGTCCCCTAATTTCACATTCACTGCAACTTCAGTAGGTACCTTTGGCACCTTGATAGGGAGGAGTGGTGGAGGGGAATAAAACATTCATAATTACTAATATCGAGAAGAGAAAAAATAATTTTTTGGAGGTGAAATTTTTCCTGTCATACAGATTTTAAAACACATTATCTATATATGCAGCCTATAAGCTGAATGCTTTTTAGCATATTTGTTACAAATTTAGCATGGATAGCACACAGGTGGGTGTCATCAATAAAGGCCAACCAGACAAGCCTCACTCACCTTCTGTCAAGTCCAGTAGCTGCACTGTGGAATGTAGATCTGTTCTGACACCCTTGAGCAAGTTTTGGCACCAAACACTGGAAGAAAAGTTTGAGAATCAGAATTTCAGTGGACTCTGGTAATGTCTAATTTCATGAACTGCTACAGTACAGGGTCTGTAGTGATGAGATTCCTTTACTATAAGCAGCAAGCCATGCTACAGGATTTTTATTTAAGCTCATGATTTTAAGAAAAGCCCCAGAGTCTTTATTCTGTTTTCTCACACTTTTCATTCATTTATTAGGCCATCTTTTTAAAAAAGATTTATTTATTTACTCATACAGAACTGAGGTACAGACCAGAGGTACAGGAGTGGTGAAAGGATTCACCAGAGACAGTGGGGAGCAGAACAGGCAGACCGACAAAGTAAACTGCTGAGGGGAGCAATGGGCAGGTCAAGAGAGGTCTGCTGTGCCATGTGGGTCACCTCCAGGGTAGGCGGGGATCGAACTCATGCGGAAGTGGCTTTAGCTTCTTAGTGTTGTGCTTTAACCCACTGCGCCACCAGGGAGGGCCCTATGCCATCTTTTTTTTTTTTTTCCAAAAGTTTATTTTTACATCATTTTGTACATTTTTTTTTCCATCTCAATTGTAATCCCCGCGGGCTTCCCATCACCAAGTCACCCATGTGCCATCACCATAATCCTGTGCATTTCCCTCCCCCCACCCCATTTTTGATCCCATTCCCCACTCCACCCCCACAAAATGTCTCTGGTATATGGTTGTTCATTATTTTTGTTATTTTCCACCTGGTCCATTATACTCCTGCTATAAGTGAAACCATCCGGTATTTTTTTTTTATTAAAAAGTTTATTTTTACATCATTTTGCACATTTTTTTTTCATCTCAATTGTAATCCCCACGGGTTTCCCATCACCAAATCACCCATGTGCCATCACCATAATCCTGTGCATTTCCCTCCCCCCACCCCATTTTTGATCCCATTCCCCACTCCACCCCCACAAAATGTCTCTGGTATATGGCTGTTCATTATTCTTGTTATTTTCTTGCCTGGTCCATTATACTCCTGCTATGAATGAAACCATCCGGTATTTTTCTTTCTCTTTCTGGCTTATCTCACTATGATCTTTTCCAGTTCCATCCAAGTTGCTGCAAAAGATATGTGTTTCTCTTTTTTGGTTGCTGAGTAATATTCCATTGTATATATGTACCACATCTTTTTTATCCAGTCATCTACTTTTGCCTATGCCATCTTTTTTTAAAGTCCAAATTACATTATAAGAAACATTAAGGCAACCACATTGATATCATCTAAAAGAGATAGCAGACAAAGGATGAGATCAGATGAAAATCAGATACAATAATTTAGAAAAATTCATTGGTCTGAGAATCCCTAATAGGTCCTTAGCGCGTAACCATAGATTGATTGATATTCAGAATGATAATTCCAGTAATATAGAAAAGAATTTACTACAATATATTAAATAGTTGTGAAACAGGAAATTTCATGGTCACCCTTCCTCACATGTGCACTTAAAGCTGTAAGACCTCTCTGTTACTCACTCTAGATTATATACATTAGTTTGTTTTTTAAGATTTATTTATGTATGCATGCAAGACCTAGGTATAGGCCAGAGGTGGGGGTCGGGGGAGAATGAGAATATTCACAGAGAACAGAGTGGAAAACAGAACAAGCAGATTGACAGAAGTACACTGCTGAGAGAGCAATGGCAAGACAGGAGCGGTCTCCTGTGCCATGTGGGTTAGCACCTTGGCTGCAGTGGCCTCAGATAGTTTACTAGTGTTGCACTTTAACCCCTTGTGCCACCTGGGAGGCCTTAAATCAGCTTTTTTTTTTTTTTTTTTACTTTGAGGTAAAACTCATAATGCACTTAAAATATGCCATTTAATACCTTCACAATGTGATGAAACTGTCACCTCTGTTGGTTCCAAAACATTTATCAACCCAAAAGGAAACCATTTATAAGCAGTCAATATCTAGCTCCTCCTTTTCACAACTCTGGATATTATTTGCTTTCTGTTTCTGCAGATTTGCTTGTATGTTTTATATAAATGGAATCATGGAATATGTGACCTTTTATATCTCCCAATGTGGATAACCATATTTTGCTTACTCATTCATTATGTATGAACATTTGTGTTGTTTCTTATTTGGTCCATTGTGATTAGTGATGCCATGAACATTCTGTCGAAATTATTTTAATAACTGTTTTTAGTTATTTGGGGTATATCCCTGGGAGTAGAATTGCTGTTAGGTCATATGGTAATTCTGCATTTAACTTTTTGAAAAACTTAGAGAATGTCTACTGCAACTGCATTGTTCACATTTCCATGGCAATACACCAGAGTTCTAATTTTTCCACGTACTGCAAATATTTTTAATTTACTATTTAGCTTTTTAAGTTATAGTCATCTGTGTGTGTGTGTGTGTGTGTGTGTGTGTATAAAAGAGAAAGAATCATCTCATGGTAAAAGGAGTTTTCATATGTAGCTTTCTTCCTCTAACTTAGGTGTAGCTATCAGTATGTTAAAATCTGTTCAAATCCAACAAACGTCTAAAGATTATGTGTTAGTATCTTAGCAGATCCTTCTATAGAAACATTCTTTTGACATTTTAATATTCAATTTTGCATATTAACTGAGACAGAGGCATTGTGTCACAACAGGAATGCCCGTCAGAGAAACTTGTTGCCATAGGCTTCTGACTTTGCCAGAGGGACTTATACATTGATAAAACATATAATTTACAAACTGAGAAATATTTAAAATCAAATATACATGATTTTGGTTGCTTAGAATGACCAAATAAAATATTAACAATCATCAAGTCTAATCTCAGGTCATTATTATCAAATACTGCATGAATGCCTCCAGTTAAAAAAATATGAACAGCTATTTCATAGGGTAGCTGATTCCATTTTAGACAGCACTATTTATAACTCTTAAGTTCTTCTGTAGGCTGAGCTAAAAACTGCTGTCCTTGAACATGCATAAATTGGATCTTGGTATTGTTTCTAGCTACACGTTCATTTTTCTGCATATTGATAGTTATTGTCAGGTTTTCTCTTTTTTTGACATGAGATGTTTCCAGTTTTCTTACCATTACATTTTCTTATTTCATATCACATTTCAGAGGTCTCATAACTTTCCCTACTCTACTTATTCCCTTCTGGATGTGCTCTAGTTTATGGCCATCTATCCTAAACGGTGTTTGTCTAAACATAGTCTGATCCACAGAATGAAACTAATATGTAAGGTGGTTTTCATGCTACTAATAAGCCTGTGATTTAGGTATGTATAGTTCCATTCTGCAAGTGAATAAACTTAGACTCAGTTGGGTGAAGTTTTCCCAAGGTAATTAAAATAAGGAGAACTGAGTTTCAGGTTCAATTCATATTTAACTACCTGCAAAGACATGTTCTTTTTATTGAGTAGAGTATCGGTATTGATAAACATAACTACCATTTGTTGCATAGATGATATACTCAGTACTATTTTTTAAAATTAGTTTGCTTTTACATAATTTTGTGCCTTTTTCCTTCTCTGTTGTAATCCCCGTGGACTTCCCACCACCAATCCACCTGTGTGCCATCACCATTGTCCTGTGTACCTTTCCCACCCCATTTTTGATCCCATTCCCCACTCTGCCCCCATAAATTGTCTCTGGTATATACTTGTCATTGTTTTTTGTTTTTTTTCTTCATTACAGTTGCTTTTTTCACCCCTGGGTCTTTACACTCCTGCTATGAATGAAAGTATCTGGTATTTTTCTTTTTCTTTCTGGCTTATTTCACTAAGTATGATCCCTTCCAACTCCATCCATGTTGCTGCAAAAGGCATGAGTTAATCTTTTTTGATTGCACTCAGCAGTTTTCTAAATATATAAACTCCCACTTAAACTTTTGTGAAGTCCAGAGAAACTCACAAATGAGAGATTTGAAGCTAAGAAAAGTCAAATAATTTGCTAAAATGTTTATAGATAGTGTTGTAGAATTAGGATTTAAAATCAAATGTGAGTTCAAAGACTAGTCTCTTAAATTTTAAGTTATTTGTATTTTATTTATATAGTTGATACTTTAATATTTGTGAGCACAGCTAATAGGTTTTTGTGTATTCTAAATCTGTAAGTTAATTTGTATGGTTTGAAATACACTTTTTCATTTGCTTTGGTACAGAAGCATCATTGATTTGACTAGATAGTGATACAGTTGTTCTTAAAGACAGTCTTAGTATTTAACAAAATACTAAAAACGTTAAATGAATGACTTAACTGAAATTTTCTTTCTTTTAGGTCCACCTCATTCATTTAACCGAGATGAGACAATTATCATTGCTTTGGCATCCGTCTCCGTGTTAACTGTTTTGATAGTTGCCTTATGTTTTGGATACAGAATGCTAACAGGTAAAAATATTACTTTTTGTCCTATTGTTTAATTTAAACATACCATTTAACCATACAATTTAAACATACCATTTAAGCAAAATTTATTTTCTCCCTTTTAAAATCTCTGCTCAGTGCTAAAATCTGTCTCTCTGCAACTGTAGCTCCATTCTTCTCAAAGCAAAATCCGTTTTTCACCAGTTTCAAATGTCTACAAAACACCTGCCACCCATTTTCAACAGTTATCACAGCTACATATTATCTATAGCCCTAGTCACTCTATCCTTTCATGACACAGGATTATTTTGAAATAAATTACAGATATGATTTATCTGTAAGTATTTTGGTATATCTCTGAAATATAAGGATTTAAACTACATAACTACAAAGCCATTTTTCACATCTAAAAATATAACAGTAATTTTCAGTATATTCAAATGTCAAGGTGGTTATAATAATTTAGGCTTGATAAGCTTTCTAGGAAATTACCAATTCATTCATTTAAGAAACTTTAATAAAGCCTTCATTGATGTTTCTGCTGTATTTCTTACATTTTTTAACTTGTTCTCTTGCTGGAACAATCTCCCAGAATTAAGCTCTAATCGTTTACTTTACTTACAGATGATTCCTAGTTTAGTAAATAGCTTTATTCGCATTGGCATCAGCTTAAGTTTTCTTCACTATCCTTCTTTAGCTCTTGTTTTTTGTGTTTTTTTTTTTTTTAAGATTTATTTATTTATTCATACAGAACTGGGGTACAGGCCAGAGGCTCAGGGGCGGTGAGAGGCTTCACCAGAGACAGAGTGGGGAGCAGAACAGGCAGATTGACGAAGTACATTGCTGAGGGGGGCAGCTGGCGGGTCAGGAGAGGTCTGGCTCGCCATGTGGTCTCCTCCGGGGCAGGCGGCAGGCGGGAATCGAACTCATACGGAAGTGGCTTCAGATTCTCAGTGCTGTGCTTTAACCCGCTGCGCCACCAGGGAGGGCCTAGCTCTTGTTTTTAAATATGTGTGTATGTGTTTATTTATGTATGTGCTTAAAATATAATAGAGAATTTGATTTTAAGAGAAACATTTATTGGTAATTTCCTTTACCTGTTACCATAGGAGACCGTAAACAAGGTCTTCACAGTATGAACATGATGGAGGCAGCAGCATCGGAACCCTCTCTTGACCTAGATAATCTGAAACTGTTGGAGGTAATACTGCTTTTACATTATTGACTTTTTTTTTTTCACTCTGATAGCATATGTGGGACAGTAACTTCATTCATTTATTCATTCATTTATTCTATGAGTATTTATTACCAGTTTTGTGCCTACACATAGTCTACACCCTGAGAATATAGTTAAACAGTATAGATATTCCTCTTGAGACTTACATTCTACTGGGAGAGTCTACAAAACAGGTGAACAAATTAATATATGTTATTTCAAGTAGCAGTAAATGCTAAAGAGAAGAATTAACTGGATAAGAAGATGTTGAAGGGCAGTTACTAAAGAAAATTATGAAGGAAATTATTTAAAAACTACTAAGAGAATTATAGAAGAGAAGATATTTGAATACAAAATTGAGGAGCATAGGAATAAAGAGCTGAAATTCTAAGGAGAGTGTGCCAGGCAAGGAATCCATATTCCTTGCCTTTGTACATATATAGGATATAAGACACATATAGGATCATATATAGGATATGCATAGGATGTCCTATATATGTGATAGTAATGCATAACTATTATAGATTCCATAGAATTTAGTTTTTATTTGATAACATCTGAGAATCTTTGTTAAAATTCTGACCATGATCTTTGTTTGTTAAAATTCTTCATGATCTTTGTTTGAAATGACTTGATAACAAAAGATCTCCACACCAGAAATTGTTAGTAGATATAATTAGATTGTAAAACATTTTTTTTTTTTTAAAGATTTATTTATTTGTACAGAACTGGGGTACAGGCCAGAGATGCGGAGGGTGAGAGAATTCACCAGAGACAGAGCGGGGAGCAGAACAGGCAGATCGACGAAGTACACTGCTGAGGGGAGCAGCGGGCGGGTCAGGAGAGGTCTGCCACGCCATGTGGTCACCTCCGGGGCAGGCGGGAATCGAACTCATGAGGAAATGGCTTTAGCTTCTCAGTGCAGTGCTTTAACCCGCTGCGCCACCAGGGAGGGCCAGATTGTAAAACATTTTAAAACCCTTCCATTTGAGAGAGCTGCAAGAAGCAAAGTTAAAAGTCTAATTTTAAAAGAAAAAGTATTTCAATGTGCAGATAAAGAGCTATATATAAATACCTATGAATGAAACAACCTCTGTTAATAGGACAAAAGAGATGAACTGCCAATTCATAAAAGAAGAGTAGCTATTAAATGTATAATAATTAGTGTAAATATAATTTTTTATAAATAATTTACTAAGCCGAAAAATACACTAATTAAAACCATAAGATTTATTTATTTATTTTATAACAGTTTATTTTACTTTGTTTTTTTCCATCTCAATTGTATTCCCGGCGGGTTTCCCATCACCAAGTCACCCATGTGCCATCACCATAATCCCGTACACTTCCCTCCCCCACCTCCCTGTTTTTGATCCCATTCCCCACTCCACCCCCACAAAATGTCTCTGGTATATGGCTGTTCATTATTCTTGTTATTTTCTTGCCTGGTCCATTATACTCCTGCTATGAATGAAACCATCCGGTATTTTTCTTTCTCTTTCTGGCTTATCTCCCTAAGCATGATCTTTTCCAGCTCCATCCAAGTTGCTGCAAAAGACATGTGTTTCTCTTTTTTGGTTGCTGAGTAGTATTCCATTGTATGTATGTACCACACCTTTTTAATCCAGTCATCTACTTTTGGGCATTTGGGCTGCTTTCATGTTTTTCCAATTGTAAATAAAGCAGCAATAAACATGGGGGTACAGGTATCTTTTTCAATCAGTGTTTTTATGTCTTTTGGGTAGATACCTAGAAGTGGGATTGCTGGATCATAGGGAAGCTCCATGTTTAGCAGTTTGAGGAACCTCCAAACAGTTTTCTATAGTGGTTGTACTAGTTTACATTCCCACCAGCAGTGCAGGAGAGTTCCTTTTTCTCCACATCCTCGCCAACATTTGTTGTTGCTAGTTGTTTGAAGATGTGCCATTCTCACCAGGGTGAGGTGGTATCTCATTGTGGTTTTAATTTGCATCTCCCTTATTACAAGTGATGTTGAACATTTTTTCATATGCTTGTTGGCCATCTGCATTTCCTCTTTGGAGAAGTGTCTTTTTAGCTCTTCTGCCCATTTTTTGATGGGGTTGTTTACTTTATTTTTGTTGAGTTTCATCAGTTCTCCGTATATTTTTGTGATCAGTCCTTTATCACTACTTTTATGTGAGAAAATGTTTTCCCAATTAGTGTAAAACATAAGATTTTTATCATGGATTGAGTAAAAGAAGCACTTCCAAACATTGCCGATTTAACTAGACACTGATAAGTTCTTTCAGAAAGGTACTCTGTTAAATTTTAACCTAGAAATTGTAAAATGAAACATGACAAAAATCCTTAAATAAATGATAGTAAAAACTTAACGTTTCAATAAAAAATGAGTTCCCAGGAGGCAAGAATGAAGAAAATGGATTGCATTTTTAACTCTTTGTCCATAAAGTAATTTTTGTTATATTCCAGAGATTATGAATGTTCTATTGTGGAGACCTTGGATTCAATCAACACAGTAAAATGTGTTGGTTTTCAGTTGTTTGTTTTTGTGGACAAATAACTTATTTGAAAAAAATCTCAAACTTGTTTCTTAGGTAGAATCTCAAAATCAGTTAGGTATTTTACACTGAAACTAGAATCTCTCCTGTACATTGACTGGGTTTCTTTTTCTATGATTCTCCATTTTGGGATTCTTCTCTCAACTTTTAGCGGTTGTGTTTGTCATCAAATTCTGCCTTCTGGTTCGTGGGACCAGAGCATTCTAGATTTTTTTTTTTATCACTGTTTTAACTCTCATCCTGTCATGCTAAAATATATAAAAATGGGCAGCTAAACCCCATGCATTCCTTTCTCAGCACTGACTCTCCTCAGTATCTACCTCCTTTTGTTCATTCTCTATGTTTAATTTATAAATGTTTTCTTTTTAAATTTTTGTTCTGAGTTAATAGTATTTATGTGTGGTAGAATCTATTAGGTATTTCCTGAGCCATATAAGATGCAGACTTTATTCACTTTATGATAATGGAGGAATTAAAAACTATAAGTGATAGAGAGCTGTGGTGTATATATGGATTTGTACTGTATTATTTAGTAAATTTATTGTTGTGGTGTGATATAAATTAATACCTTGCTTTCTTCAAACTAATTTACAGTTGATTGGTCGAGGTCGATATGGAGCAGTATATAAAGGTTCTTTGGATGAGCGTCCAGTTGCTGTAAAAGTATTTTCCTTTGCAAATCGTCAGAATTTTATCAATGAGAAGAATATTTACAGAGTGCCTTTGATGGAACATGACAACATTGCTCGCTTTATAGTTGGAGATGAGAGGGTCACTGCAGATGGACGCATGGAGTATTTGCTTGTGATGGAATATTATCCCAATGTAAGTTATTCATAAATAATAAAACGGCATTTATGCCATTTATGTGTGTGAATTAAGGCACTTATGGAAGAATGTGAACCAACTAAGTCACCAGTTCTCTTTCTCTTTCTCCCTACCATTCCGTGCATGTATGTGTGTCTTTTTTAAAATCTCTCTGAGAAAGACTTTTTGATGTGGGAGGTAGTACCTTGATTGACAATTATTCTAAGATAGGCTCTTTATCCCAGACTCATAATAGTTTGTTGGTGATGGGCACTTTGAATAGCACTAAACCACATATATTTACAAAATCCTCTGTGTTCCCCTTGTAAACAGAACTGTAATGTATGCTTGTACTGGCAAGAGGTGGAATGTAAAGAAAGATTCTAAAGACTTTTTTCCTATCTTAATTTGATAAATCAAAAAATACTTACAATGAATAACCATTTATAAGTTTTAATATTGGAGAAATAAAAAAGGACAATTCTCCTTTCCATCCTCTCTAAACCCATAGAAATGTCTTATAGTTCATTTGAGATTCTGAAATGTCAAATTAAATCTCCATGATCTCCTAACCTAGTGCAAATCCTGCATAATGCTGTTAACTTACCTCCACATAGCAAGTAAATTAATTCCACTTTCTCCCCCTATCTATAGGGATCTTTATGCAAGTATTTGAGTCTCCATACAAGTGACTGGGTAAGCTCTTGCCGTCTGGCTCATTCTGTGACTAGAGGACTAGCTTATCTTCACACTGAACTACCACGAGGAGGTAAGGCAATGAGTGGAGAATTATCATGTGGGTCAGAATTCTCGAAGAAATTTATTCATATTTTTTAGGTAAAAGTATATATTGTTAACAGATTTATTGTTAACGAGATGTTTAAAAGCTCTGGAATGAAGAACTCTATTTGAAATGTAATAGAAAGGAATGTAATGAAAAAAGGAATTTCAAACTCTGGAGGCATCACAATCCCTTTGAGCATTTGATTAGAGTTCTAAATACTCTTCCTACAAAGATACACATGTGGTCATACTTAGAAAGTGGCTTTTTGATTATAGAACCCTTAAGCCCTTGGAAATTCATTTTTTCCCCTTTTTCATGTAAGGATCTATAGAGAAATACTGAAAATTGGTTTGTGAGCACCCTGGTATTATTATTTTTAATTATTATTATGCCACAGGCTTCTGTATTTTTCTTCCATTGTTCTTTTTGATGGTGGCTTTTATCTTCAAGGTCACCACATCCATTATGCTGTATTCTAGTCAGCAGGGAAAAGGAATTGCCTCCTTACACCTCTACAAGTCCTGCTCTAAATTTATGCTTTGTTTCCCAGAACTTAGTCTATGCTTAACTCTTAATTTGTTGCTGAGAGTATAGGTTTCCGTGTTTGTCTTTTTTTTCCCTTAAAGTGCATGCACTGCTACCTCAAATAATAATGGAAATCTGTACCTAAGTAGGAAGAGGAGAGTGCATGGTGCACAAAGTACCTTTGTTAGTGTTTCACAACTTTGTGATTGTGTTTCTTACCATAAATTGCAGTTTTCTTCAGCTAATTTTATGCACAGTTTTGTCAGTTGTTCAAAGCATCTCTTTAATACATTTGCTTTCTCACTTTGTTTCAAAATACACCTCACATCACAGGCACCTCTAAATTAGTTTTGCTGTGAAAATCCTGTCTTCGTGCTTTCTTGAACTTTTATCCCTTAAACCATTTCTTGTTATGCTAAAACCCACACATACCATTATTATCTTCAGTCTCTCTGACCTCTGCAGTGAGAGAATCCTTAATGTATCAATCTCTAAGATCTTTGTTCCATTTTATAATAGCATGGATCATCTTTTCTAGCTGCTGCTTCATATATAAATAATTTCTCCTGAATAATTTATTGTTTCATTTATCTTGACATCTTGCTTTTCTTGAATACGGAATTGACCAATATTTGTCTGTGTCAGCAACTTGATGCACTTACTTTAGTGCTTTAGCACATTAACTACTGTGTTTCCTTACTCTTGAATATTATTATAACGTCTTTAAAGTGCTGGCTTAGCACAGAACTTAAAATACCCTAATCCTCATTTTTAAGGGTTGCATGATTCAGCAAGGTTTCAAGCCAAACATTAGCTGAGGAGAATGAGTGTCATCAATATTTTAAAAATACTATAAGTATATGATACTATTTCAAACATTTAAAGTGTCTTCACATTTTTTAGGTAATTCCTTTCTTCCCCAGTATCTTCAGATGTAATTTTGCTGATTAGCATAGAATTTTTATAGTAGGGAATAATGTTACATATGCAGGTGGTGTTTAGCTTCAGAATAAGGAAGTACTAAACTTGTTTTATTTGTAGTTGTTTCTCCCTATGAATTTTTCCCAAAAATGTATTACCTCCTCCCAAATATAATAAAGAATATATATAGATCCCTCCCACCTAAGCAGAACATTACTAGTTATTTTATGTACATCCTTACAGATCCTTCGCTGGGTATGTATAAATATCCACAGAAAGACTGTTTTTCTTTCAGGTTTTATCTTTCATATAATTAAAATATTATGCCCCTTTTTTCTTTGAGATAACTTCCTAGTACAGCTCTAGTGTCCACAGCAAAATCATTGTGTGTTTTGCTTCTTCTTTTTTTTTTTAATGTCCTCTCCCACCCAAATTCTGAGGAGAGCTTTAACAGGAAATGAAGTCTCAAGGGGCAGTTACACTTTTGCTCTTTGCATTGGTGGAGAATGCTATGATGTCTTTTCTCTTTTTCTACCCTGAAGTAGTACCATTTTCCCCTCAAACTGTCTCATTGAAACTAATTGTACATTCACTACATGATTCCTAGTTCTCCTAAGATGTATGATCTTTTAGTTTAAATATTGACTTAGTTTTAGTATACACTTTGTAATGTTACTGTAAGTTTCCTTAGATAACTATCACCCCAAAATGATACCATATATACTTTTGGTATGGTTATCCAAAGTAAAAAAATGCAACTCTTTTAGGGTTGGGTAAGCCAAGTTAGTAAAAGCTTAGGAAATTAGATCAGAAAGTGGTGAGGAAAGAAAACGAGAAAGAAGTCAATTCTTTGACAAAGAAACTTGTTAAATACTATTTTTCCTTCTAATTTTGCTATTATTTTAACTTTTTTTGTGCCTGAGGAATCATTATCCTCTGTCTTTAGTTTCATTGTTGGTGAAATTGCAGTCTACTCATTAAAATGAATAATAAATGTAAATACAGAGTCTGCTTATCCCTAAATGTAAGCATTCCATGAACTTATCATTGACTTTGTTCTGTTTGATGTATATTTTTCTGTAGACCAAGTTGCTATTTTAAATATCAGAAATTATACTAAGGTTTTTTTTAAATTATTATTTCAAAAGCTATAGATTATTTTATTAAAGAGAAGGTAATATGCTGTTATTTTTTTTTTAAGATGTATTTATTCATATAGAACTGAGGTACAGGCCACAGATGTGGAGGGTGAGAGGATTCACCAGAGACAGAATGGGGAGCAGAACAGGCAGATTGATGAAGTACACTGCTGAGGGGATCAGTGGGCGGGTCAGGAGAGGTCTGCCTCATGTGGAGCTCCTCCCATGTGGAGCTCCTCCCTGGCAGGTAGAATCGAACTCATGTGGAAGTGGCTTAAACTTCTTAGTGCTGTGCTTTAACCCGCTGCGCCACCAAGGAGGGCCCTATGCTGTTATGTTTCTGATGATGGGCTTAGGTTAGATACATACTTTCAGTCAACAAGCATTTACTGTGCATAACCATTTTGAATTAAGGTAAAGCATTCTCTTTCTGCCTTCTTGGACCTTATAGTCTACTGGTAAACAAGTAACAGAATGAGTATAGTACTTTGCTTCTCTGTAAAATCAGAAAACAGATTTTCATTATCTTATTCAGAAAGAGTAATTCTTCTACTTGTTCTCCCAGCCCATTGTAAAAATATTTCTAGTTTAATTTGAAGAACTGAGTTGGGGCCAGAGACATGACTAAATCTTAGAGTACACCTGGGGCACTCTGTTTCAGGTTTGATCTGTTAAACCAGGAATATATAAGACGTATGTATAAATTTTGGAGGCATGTCAGTTTTTAATTGATACTTATTTTAGATAAGTTGACTTTTTTGGTCTACTTACACCAAACATTGTTTTCTTTTGTACCTCCTTTTTCCTGCCCTAGAAATGAGAGAGGGAAGCAAACCTATGTTAGAATTTTTTAAAAATTGGATGTTAGTTTCAGCTGAATGCTTTACAGCTTAATATACATGCTGTAGGAGTTACATTGTATAATATATGGTGAATCAAAATTTTGATTTATGTCCTTTTTTTGTTTTGTTTTTAAAAAGTCAGATAAAGCTATCTTCTTTACTTGTGTAGCCTTTGTTATATGCATGCTTCTTTTATGTCCAGCATTGATATTTAGGCACTAATATATTTGAAATTACCCAAACAGATCATTATAAACCTGCAATTTCCCATCGAGATTTAAACAGTAGAAATGTCCTGGTGAAAAATGATGGAACTTGTGTTATCAGTGACTTTGGGTTGTCTATGAGATTGACTGGAAACAGACTGGTGCGCCCTGGGGAGGAAGACAATGCAGCCATAAGTGAGGTGAGTTTACATAAAAGGTGTCACACTGACACAGTTAGGAAACATAGTAAACTACATTTAACATTACACTAACTATTCAGTGAAATTATCTTTATATACTGCCAATTATAGCATACTGGAATTACAAAATTTAAAAATGCAGAAGGCTTTACATAACATTCATCAGCTCATTATAGAAATCATTGCTGTTTCAGCACATTTTGACAAGTATTAGGAGGAAATTTATAGTAGCTGATTTTGAAGTAAAGATAAGACCAACTAGTTTGAGATAGGACATTCACCCTCTGCTAATCCTTTAACAATGTGGAATGTATTCTTCCTGACTTTTTTCCTCTGTAATTACACACACATATCTTTATTTATTTATTTATTTATTTTGGTGAGTTAAAAAATGTGAAATGGGGCCCTCCCTGGTGGCGCAGCGGGTTAAAGCACTGCACTGAGAAGCTAAAGCCACTTCCGCATGAGTTCGATCCCCGCCTGCGCCCGGA